GATCTATCTATCTATCTATCTATCTATCTATCTATCTATCTATCTATCTATCTATCTATCTATCTATCTATCTATCTATCTATCTATCTATAATCGAGCTGTAATCCTATTTAATGTTCATTTCTTGTTAATTACATAATAATCCACAATACGTCGTATCTATTATAATTTTAGAAGGCCGTATTTCATATATTACATTTAATCCTATTGACCACACTGACACTTTACTAGATTCCGCCTTGGCTTACAGCCTTTCCTCTGTCGAAAATCAGATACCTGGCTGTGTCCGATGGCATACATGTTTTTAATTTCTGAGGTCAACCCCAACCCAACCCCAGATCTAACTAAGACGTACTATAATAGCTTGTTCACTCTTGTCTGTCCGAGGTTTTAAAATGCTAGCTCATTTATGAATTTGCTAATATGCACGTAACTTTATATAGCACTGCTGTGAACATTAAGAGAACAGATTAAGAACAAATGGGGTCGTATAACACAATAAAAAAAACACATTCCTTCAAGAGCAGGTGACTTATTGTGTTTTATCTCTTTGATCCGGAAATCTACTGACAAACACAAATAATCAACCTTGACTAGCAATAATTGTTAAGTTAAGCTGATTCTATAGTAGTGCTGTTCTCCTCTGTTATCTCAGTATGCAGCACATTTGCAATGAGAGCTTGGACTTTCTTTCCTAGGAGTCTTGAAGTCAGCGCTTTGCAATACAAATTCTTAAAAGGACACTCGTCTTTGTAGATTCACAGATTATGTCAAAGGTTGTAGTTAACCACTATAAGTTATCTTTTGAGTTAGTATATAGAGGAAAGAAATGCAACAAAATCAATGTATCTGATCAAGCACGTGATAATAGTATGACAACTAATGTATCTGATCAAGCACGTGATAATAGTATGACAACTAACTATTTGGCCTACATAAAGTTCTTGTTCATATCAGCTATTTATTGTCGTGCTGTTGCAGCTCATTATCAGTTTGGCACAGGATTTGCTTTAGTGCAGTAGTAGTCGGTAAGTATTTTAACAAATCCCATATACTTACACGTAAAAGAAACCGGGTTGTGTATATCCAAAGTTAGTCTGACAAAATGATTTAAAGTGTGTTTTTTATTAGAAAAACAAGATGTTTTAAGGTTTATGACACCGCAAAGCAAAGTCTCCAAACGAATTATATGGTCAGGAGAGTCAACAGAGTTTGGATTTTGACCATGGAGAGTGAAGACTGTTGGTATTGAGCTATCTTTCTCTGATTCCATACACCCCCAAGGTAAATGGTGGACACTGTTTTGTTACAGGGAAGATAAAGCTGACAATAACGTCTGTGTATTGTAATGTCTGACCTTGCAGTACGGGAAGTTTCTAACAGGCTATAGTGTAAGGGTATGGATCTAACCCCTCTATCAACACTAGGCCGTTATTTAAAAGCGGGACATGCAAATTTAAAAAGGGGGGGGGGGGAGGGCTACACCTGAAGGCCATCTCATATAAGTTGACCAAATTTTACCCAATTTCATACCTATAACAAGCATAGTAAGGAGTCTCAAAATCCAGAATCAAATTTGAGAACAAAGTTTTATTGCCATGGAGACAGCGGCCATATTGGATTTGTTGACATGCCTTACGTAATGAATACCTCACTTCTTGTTCATGGATATGTGTTGTTTTTGCATGCATGTTAGTATACAATTGATCTACAAATATGTCTGTTGAAATTTTACAAAACGAATTTGGAAATTTTAATGAATTTGTTTTCCTGAGGTAGTAGTCAAGTTTGCAAAAGAAATCCGTAAAAAATCCACTCTCCATTCAACACCAACAAAAATCTGTGTCATGTATTAAAAAATTCAACTGAACAATTGTTAGTGTTACATAATTTATTTTTCTACATTCTGTGAAAAATTTCTTGACGATTGGATGAAAAATGGTGGAGTAATTCAAAAAAGTATACCGGTATAGAAAAACCGTGTTTTGAGAAAACGGGTAATGAAAAAATAAAAGATTGACTTTATAAGGAAATGGTGGTGACTAACATGCCAGGTATGGGAAAATAAGGTTTAAGGGGATTCTTAAGCGATGAAATAGTTGTAAGAGAGGCTGAAGAAGCTAAAAAAGGGTACAACTCAAAATCCATAATTTTGACCCGAATTTGGATTATCAGGGTGTAGCCTCCAATAGGACCGCACCAAATGGGTTGAGAACTCGAAATTTAATGTTATATAAGATTTTCTAGAATATGCATTATATTTTAATACATTTACCATAATCACTAGTTCATCCACTTCTTCAGTTTCACACATTTAACAAAATTGACGTGAAAACGTGGCTTACTCATGGTGGGATGCAAGCCACTTTTTACTTATTAAGTCAAAGAAATACATGTTTAAAATCAAATCTTTGGAATACTTTGATATCTGTTGTCTAAAGTATTTTCCAAAAGTCGTTTCATTCTTAAGATGGTGCCCTAGAATTGCTATTCATTGGGAACAGTTTAAAGGCTGACCAAATAATATACTTGTTTTGTGGATTTAACACGAAAATGAATGTTATGCTTACTGGGTTTTGTTTTTGTTTTTTCGTGTATGTGTGTTGATCCAAAGTGTTATTCATAACCCTTTTTCTGTGAGAAACACTTTAAGAACACCATAAGGTTAAAGAATCATTAAAATTTGATAAATTTTGAATTGGCCAAATCTACCGAAATATTTGGGTAACGAGATTTGTAAAAAGACAATAGTATGTTATTTTACCGAGTTTGGATGTGCCGGTATGTGAAAAAGTAAGAAACAAGGTAGTTCAAATCACTCAAATTTGCTTTCTTTGCACGTACATGTACCGTGCATTTATGAGAAAGTGACTCAGTGCAACCTTTCCAGGTTTTTCACCTGTAGATATATCTAATTATGCTCCTTCTTAAGTTGTATAAAAGTTGAGATTAACCAGTATGTAAAGAGGCTGATTCTATACGAATTTCAGCTATTTTTTCTTGAAAAAAGGGAATTCGATTTATTTCTGATTTTATCTTAGAAACATTACTTTGGTAGGAATGGATTACCACTTTAAAGCAACTTTCATGGATGTTATCTCAACTGTTTCTTCATACATGTATTTAATCAGCAAGGTTATTAACATTGTGCTTAAGGAAATACGTTTCTGTTTTTATATTTCTTTTTTGAAAACAGATTCCGAATGCGCTAACAAAAACAATAAAGAGGACCATGTTGTCAAGACTCCCGTATGGTATAAGTCTTCTTATACTCACTGCTGCTCTGTCAAGCCATATAGCCACTAGCTCAAGACTCTACAGGCCTAGCCATTCTAACACAATCAGACACATGAACATTGATGAGGACCAGGCACAGTTCGGCGACTTCCCGTTCCAGAACACCAGCTTGTCGTGGGATGAGCGCGTGGACGATCTCGTGTCCAGACTGACCCTGGAGGAGATTCAGGTACAGATGGCCAGGGGCGGAACCAAAGAGATTGGAGGTCCAGCCCCGGCCATTCCAAGATTGGGCATTGGGTCTTATCAGTGGGACACAGAATGTTTGCGAGGTGATGTAGATGCTGTTGAGAATGCAACGGGCTTTCCTCAAGCAATTGGTTTGGCGGCCACTTTCAGCCCGGATATTCTGTACCACGTTGCCCGAGCGACAGGTCAAGAAGTGCGAGCCAAACACAACGACTTTGTCAAAAGGGGTATCTTTGCCACTCACACTGGTATGAGTTGCTTCAGTCCGGTCATCAATATCTTGAGAGATCCTAGGTGGGGCAGGAATCAAGAGACATACGGCGAGGACCCTTACCTGACTGGAAATCTGGTACAAAAATTTGTCATTGGTATCCAAGGTGAAGACTCAAGGTTCATAATGACCAGCGCTGGATGCAAACATTTTGACGTTCATGGAGGGCCTGACAACATACCGGTGTCAAGGGCCTCCTTTGACGCTATCGTCTCTGACACAGACTGGAGGATGACCTTTCTGCCCGCCTTCAAAAAATGTGTAGAGGCCGGTACCTACAGCGTCATGTGCAGCTACAACAGTGTGAACGGTGTCCCGGCATGCGCAAACAAAAAACTGCTTACAGACATCCTGCGTACAGAATGGAACTTCAAGGGCTATGTCGTCAGCGACGAAGCTGCCATCGAAAATGTCATCTCGAAACATAAATATTGTAATAATAGCGTGGATGCTGTGGTGGCCTGTGTTAACGCTGGTACGAATCTAGAACTTTCATACAATCTCCCCACACCGGTTTATATGTCTATAGTAGATGCTATTCAACAGGGAAAACTGTCTGAGGATCTGGTGAGGGAAAGAGTCAAACCACTGTTTTACACACGCATGAGGCTCGGGGAGTTTGACCCGGAAAAAGATAACCCTTACGCCAAGCTGGGTATGGATCAGATCGAATCTGCCGAACACCAACAGCTGGCTGTCACAGCCGCCATGAAGTCTTTCGTACTGTTAAAAAACCAGGGCGGCATTTTACCTTTGCAGAAAGGAAAGTTCAGTAAAGTTGCTATCATAGGACCAATGAGTGACAATGCAGAACAACTGAATGGTGACTATTACCCTCGCCAAGACAAATCTTTCTTCACAACTCCTTTGGACGCAGTGAAGACTCTGTACCCCAACGCCAAGTACGGACAAGTATGCAAAGACAACACACCATGTACACAGTACAACAAAGCTGCCGTGCCTGCTATAGTGAAAGATACGGAACTGGTATTTGTCGCCCTGGGTACTGGTCAAGCTGTTGAAAGTGAGGCAAACGACAGGCCGGATGTCGAGCTGGCAGGACATCAGAAGGAACTTCTTCTGGATGTTCTAGACAACAGCGGTGACGCTAAGATCATTCTGCTTCTCTTCTCTGCCAGTCCTCTCAACATTACGTTTGCCGACCAGTCAGACCGCGTGGTAGCCATCATGGAATGTTTCTTTCCCGCACAGTCTACTGGGAAGGCCCTGTACAATGTTCTCACCAACACCGGGCCGTATTCTTCCCCGGCAGGCAGACTTCCCAACACCTGGCCCCTGTACAGTACGCAGATTCCACCGATGGTCAACTACTCCATGGAGGGTAGAACGTATCGCTACTTCAGAGGCAATCCCTTGTATCCGTTTGGCTATGGCCTCTCCTACACCCAGTTCAATTTCTCTGATCTGATGTACAACACAACAATCAAGGCAGGAGATAGTCTGAGTGTCCAGGTGGACATTACAAATGAGGGTGACGTTGACGGCGAAGAAGTCCTCCAATGTTACATCAGCTGGAATGACAAGTCCTTGCCCGTACCACAACTACAGTTGGCCTACTTTGACCGGATCCTCATTGCCTCCAAGCAAACGATCTCACGCCGTTTTTCGATGTACCCGGAGTCCATGGCGTTTTGGCAAGGTGGGAAATGGGTAATTAAAGCTGGTGGGATGAGTCTGTTTTGTGGTGGTCAACAGCCAAATCAGAAGAAACAGGTGCCGTCCAACGTCCTCTCTGGAACGTTCACCATCACAGACTCTATCACTCTTGAAAAGTAACGTTTTAATTCCACCTGTGAGAGTAAACATGAGTACATGCATGCACGTGTTATGTGGTGTGGTGTGTGTGTGTTATTTGTGTGTGTGCGTATGTTTGTTCGTACGTTAACACAAGCACACGAGTACGAGCGGTGTCTTGAGTGTCAAACCATTATTTCTTCCTGCTGAGCAAAGTGTTGTCTTCACCTGTTTGAAACATTTGTGGGTGACTTGTAATCAGAAAGCAATATTAGGCAAAGAAACCAGTTGGTCCAGTGCATAACTGGTTCTGTTGTTTGTTTTTTAAAATTATTTTTTTACGTTTTATTCCTCCCAGAAGGCCATATATATATTTTTTTTT